ATCCTACAGCAACATCGGCTTGGTGTATAACAGTATGGGTGATTATCGAAAAGCACTCGAATACTATGAGAAAACTCTTTCAATTAAACAACATTCACTTCCCGCAAACCATCCTGATTTAGCCACATCGTACAGCAACATCGGCTCGGTGTATGACAGTATGGGTGATTATCGAAAAGCACTCGAATACTATGAGAAAACTCTTTCAATTGAACTACAATCACTTCCTGCAAACCATCCTGGTATAGCCACATCCTACAACAACATCGGCTCGGTGTATGACAGTATGGGTGATTATCGAAAAGCACTCGAATACTATGAGAAAGCTCTTTCAATTAAACAACATTCACTTCCTGCAAACCATTCTGGTATAGCCACATCCTACAACAACATCGGCTTGGCGTATAACAGTATGGGTCATTATCCAGAAGCACTCGAATACTATGAGAAAGCTCTTTCGATTCTACAACAATCACTTCCTGCAAACCATCCTGATTTAGCCACATCGTACAACAACATCGGCTCGGTGTATGACAGTATGGGTGATTATCGAAAAGCACTCGAATACTATGAGAAAGCTCTTTCGATTCTACAACAATCACTTCCTGCAAACCATCCTGGTATAGCCACATCCTACAACAATATCGGCTCGGTGTATGACAGTATGGGTGATTATCGAAAAGCACTCGAATACTATGAGAAAGCTCTTTCAATTAAACAACATTCACTTCCTGCAAGCCATCCTAGTATAGGCACTTCGTACAACAACATCGGTTTGGTGTATGACAGTATGGGTGATTATCGAAAAGCACTCGAATATTGTGAGAAAACTCTTCTGATTCGACAACAATCACTTCCTGCAAGCCATCCTGATTTTGCCGCATCTTACAACAACATCGGCTTGGTGTATGACAGTATAGGAGATTATCCAAAAGCTCACTTCTATTGTGAACGCGCTGTTGAAATTGCTAAGTGTTCGATGTCACCAAATCATCCACATCTTTTAACATTCGAAAGAAACCTGGAACGTGTGGATAATAAACTGCAGCGCTCTTCTTTTCGTGCTATGAAATAAAATCATCCCTTATCTTAAAATCACATGTCATCATATAACTTTTCAGAGAAGCATTCTACGGATGTCTTTCCATTAGAATGCGCCGAGAACGTTTCCATTAGAGAATTAACGATAAGTCAACACATTGAATGTCTTTAGATAATGGACATTGCTAGTATGAATTATGTTACGAAGGGTAAATCTTACGATTGAAGTCGGCGACGTTTGACAAATCGTATCCGAAGTTAATGTTGAAGCCATAGAGGCCGTTCTATAGAGACGAATTTGTTTAAGTTTTTATAAGTAATCTTGAGAATGAAAGAAATGAGCTCTTAGAAAGGTGAGAGTTCAGACTTCAAATACTAATTGAAGTTGATGAAGTCTTGCTTTGCCTCTTATCATTGTCAATGAGTCGATCCTGAATGGAAAAGGGTTTTTATTTCAGACGCGTTTTAATGCATCAACTATTGAAAACACGCCTAAACGTGTTAGGACGCGTTTATTCTGTGTTTCAGAGTTACATAGCTTGTATTGCTCTACTTTAAAAAAAAACTTTTAACATTATCGAAAACAACGATCATATTGCTCAATCGTGAGCAGTTGTAAAACATTTCTTTGTTCTCTTTTCTGAAAGTAAGGGCCATAGCGTCAAAGATACAGTCATGAAAGTACATAAAGTTTGTTTGTTTGTTTGCTTGCATAATCCAATCAGATTGTAGCATATTATAAATCAAAGATCGACCAATGATGACGTAATCCAGCTCGAACATCCCGAATCCTATGTTAATTTTCGCAAATACTAATTAGTTAATTAGCTAACGATTAGTTCTTGTATTGCCGAATAAGGGTTAATCGAAAGGGTCATCTGGATGCAAGATCTCGAATCAATTGTTAGATTTTCAATAAAAATATTCTATGCTGTGTTTTTAGACATAGGACGATTTTTTACAAGGGACTTTTTTAGGCGATAGTGTTTGAAGCATCAATATGTAGAACAAAACGGAATAGCTGATTAACTTTGGATTGTTGGATATTCATACGCATCAATACATTGATAACATCACAATTATACAAACAGTTATATTACACAAACATATCCGGCAGCCTTTTAAGGTGCCTGGTGATAAAAAGATGAATGGAATCTTTAGCAGAGGGCGGTATACCTACAATGTTAAGTTCTTACGATCTCGAATATGGATTGTTTTTCCAGAGCGGACTTCTTCTCAGATAACATCTTCACCTGAATAAAATAAAAATAGGAAAATACATAGAAACGGCTAGCCGTAAGTGACCGACCGGAGACAGGCCGACGAACGACTAGGCGGTTATTTGCATTGCTTTGAGGAGATAAAATAAGGAAAAGTAAATTGTTTTTTTTTTATAAACAGTGTTCGTTTTGTTTACGGCTTTGGACAAATAATTTGAAAGTAATCTGACATGAATGAAGCAAAAAGTGAAAGAATGAGCATAAAAGTAACTTCAATTCGAAGTCAATTAGATTGAGATCTAAATGAGAACGTTTATCTACTAGTTTTCTGGTACTTTCAGAAAAGGGTCAGTGAATCCAACGGATGAGCGTTACTTGTGATTTTAATGAAACATTTACGGAGAGGGTGGGCGATGGTGGAAGTTGAATAGTTTAAAACTCGAGCACTCGAATCGAATTAACGATTTCTACGCTACTCGGATAAATGATAGACATTCCTGGTAGTTACAATAACATTCTCAGAATATTTTATTCATAAATTTTTCAAAAAATGAACAGAAATTTTCATTCGCGGGATTAAAATTTAAAAGCAAAAAAGTGTTTCTGCAAAGCTATTTGGTAATTCAATTCTCTAATGCATCTGCTTTTTTCAAAATCTTCTCCAGCTCGCCTTGCTTGTCTAATCGTTCGGTGTCATCTCCACCGCCAATACATTCTCCAGCAATAAAAACTCGAGGAACAGTATCTGCATCGGTCATTTCTCCAAGAATATCTTGGTATTCATCGCCATCGTCGATCTTGTCAAGTTCAATGACTTTGTAACTCTTTAGTTTATATTTACCAAGAACTTTTTTTGCCTTTGTGCAATATGGGCCTTGGAAAAAAGAATTGAATCGCGAAGAAGAAGATATGAAACACTTACAGTAAACCTTTGAAAAGACCATTACTGTGTTATCTTTGATTAATTGGTTAATTTTTTCCTTGATGCTTTCTTTTGAGGATTTTTCATTGGAATCAGTAGACGTCATGATGAGTCGACGAGGCGAAGCAAAAAATATGAATCAAAACAATCTAAAAGAACAATGATAAATAAATTGCGTGCATCAAACGAAAGAGAATGGAAGATATCAGATGTCCTGGTATGTAACACGAACGAAAAGAGTAGAACACTCGAATATGACTCTCTGAAACAAAAACCGATGTCTTTGGTGTTTCGATTTGCACTGTTCTGATAGATATTGTCGATGGAAATTAAGTTTTTCTTTGTGTAACAAAACAGCTTACTGTTCTTTTGAATAACTATGAGAAAAAAACAATAACAAAGAACATTTTGTTTCAGTTTAACGATTCAGACATTGATTATTCTCAAGAGCTAATTGATCAAAGGATGACTCAAGTGTATTAATTTTGAGATAATCAATTTCAAGTGGATGTAGCTGTCCAACAATAACAAGCGAATGTAACGGACGACCTAAATCCACTTCATCTGCCATGCGGCGTAAAGTTGTTGTAACGAATTTCTCATCCGACCAACCAATCCGTGCTGCACCAATGCATAGCGTTTTATCATTGATAACTAAAAACGTATGAATAACATCGAAGTTTTTCAACAGACTAAATAGACATACGATCTTCGACTTGTAATTGCTTAGCTGATTCGAGTATTTGCGAGGCTGCTTGCGCTGTTGTCATAAATCGAGGCGGTAAATATGTTTTAGTTTTTCTAAATCCATTCGTATATAACCTCGCTGAAAGCAATTTGTGAATCTTACTTCATATAACTAGCTTCATCTTGTTCTTTAACCTTAATATCTAAAATATTCATTTCTGTAAAACTCATTCTCTTCGTAAAATTTCGATTTTACCCAATAAACAAAGAGTGTGTAGCCCACGTCGTCGGTTAGCAATTATCTTCTCGCAGAAGCTTGTCGGTCGCCACGTGTCTGTCCAGAATACAATGGAAACCGTTTCACCGAAATGATATAACTTTTCATACAATAATACGAATAGAATCTTGTCAATCGAATGAAACAAACCTTACCTGTAATCCACAGCTACCGATAGCGTTCATAATTGATGCATTATGAATAATTTTATACGGGATATTCAATTCTACAGCGCGTAGAATCAAATCTGTATGTGTCGTTGCAGAAAGTGGATCGCCACCGACAAGAAATGCGACATCGTATTCACCAGCGTTCTTTAAAATCTTGTCTTTGAATAAAACGGAAGTTTGCCAGCAAAGACTTTTCTTTGTGTCTTACCAGCAGAAAGTTCAACGAGTTCTCTATCAGCCGGAATGAGCTGGATGCCTAAATATTCTTCCAAGGTCTTCTGATCGACTTGTAAAATCGTTGTATATGTCTCCAAATATACTTCTTTACAATTTTTAATTATCCGTAAACCTTTGACAGTCAAATCGTCAACATCAGCTAAGCCAAGACCAATAAAGTAAAGCATGATCTAAAAACAGTGATATTTCGAAGAAGTTCAGTTTACAATTTGCTTCTTCGTGAGTACAAAATACACATAAGATCATAGATTAAGTATTTCTTTCTATCTTCGAACTGAATAATCATATCTTTAAGCTTAAACGAAACAAAAAAAAAAAGAATACGATTTATCTTTCATTTCAATCAGATTTCGTAACTACATTCATCATATAAACAGATCTTTTTTTACAAACAAGAAAGAAAACCACTGATTACTGTCTATTAAATTATGTCTAAGAAAACTTCTTCACAGTATTTGTGTCGATGCGCTTTGACTTTGATAGATAATCGCGCCAACAAAATTAACACCACTTGCAAGAATAAATACTGGAAACCAACGACCATGACTCGCTTGTACTAGTTCAGCTGTTACAGGGCCAGCTAAGATGCCAGGAATCGTGGCGAGTGTATTCGATATAGCAAACGTTATGCCAGCATGATTAGGCGCTATATCAGCATGATTTGATAAGTGACCGGCAGAATTACATGCGCTTAGGCCCATACTGATTGATATGAAACTAGAACAATAGAAGATTAGAATGGAGATCATAGTGGAGTGAATGGACATTACACAACAGCTAGAAGAAGATTGTCTACTGATATGAAGAGAAGCATGAAGAGGCCAGGGCCGAGTAGACCAATAGCGGTCATCAATCGACGAACGGACAAGACAGTCCATCGATTTTGAATGAGCGAATCTGCAAAATGGCCTGCGGCTGAAAAATAAATTCAATGTGTCAAATTTTTGAAGAACATTCTTTTCGTTAAATCAAATCTTCTCGTGTACTCAATTTCGAGATACATTTACTTACCAACACCAGACAAACAATTCATAACATATGGAAATGCTGTAAATGATAAATTCGTTGGATCAGCATCAAATGTTGTTGTTAGGTACGATGGTAACCATACCATAACAATGTACGACGACCAATTCATAGCAAAATGCGCTATATAAATGGCCCATAGTGGCCATTGCGACATAAATTCGATCCATCGATAGTTTTTATTTCCTACCTAGAATAATCATAAAATAGAAGTTTAACCAAAGAAAATTCTCTATCTTTTCAATACTTTAGATGATGGATGAATGAAAGCTTCTTCATCTCCTGCATTTCCCATAGAAATGTTAAAATCACGATAAGTTACAATCCACATAAATGACCACAAAAAACCCATTAAACCGAAAATAAAGAAAACTGTACGCCATGCCATGTGCGGACACACCTAAATGAAAGACATAAAATTCTCTGATCGTTCTCTTCCGGTTCTGTTCGTACCACAGCTGCAAACGTTTGTCCAACTGATCCTAAGGCAATTAAATAACTAAACGATCTCGATCGTTCTTCCATTGGTACATAATTACTGAATATATGAAATATTGTTGGTAATGCTGAACAAAGAAAATCGTTTGACAACACCTTAGTTTAGAATTTTTTACTTTTGACTTACCTAAACCTTCACCAAAGCCGAGCGCAATTCTCGAACATATCAATAGGAATGGCAAAGGTGCCAAAAACGGTGTTGCAAAGGTGACTAATGACCATGTAAACACCGCGAAGGTAAGAACACTCTTTGTGCCAAAACGCCGTACGAACATATGAGCAAATATTTGACTTGTTAAGTATCCGATCGGAAACGATGATAGAATATAACCTTGTAATCGTAAATTCCAACTGAATTCCTTCGCCATTGGGATAATGGCAACTGAAAGTATCATGTATTGATGTTTGACATGTACATAGAAGAAAACATCAAAATCAACTCACTGGGCATGATTGCTCGATCAGCAGCATTGATGAAATTCGCCAAGGAACAAAGAGTAACTGTACGAGATTTGCCGAACGACATTTATTCGAAAAAAAGTCATGTACTTCGTTTTGTTATTCCATAGTATATTTTTAATTCTCCGATTGGCTCGCTTCAATTCCAAAAGGTAAAAACATTTCGTTAGATGTCGTACTAAAAAATAATCTAAACTGGAAAACATCGAAATTCTACGGACATTTTCGATCAAAAAAGAAAACTATTTCTTTGCGAAGAAAATTTCTCTGTTCAAAAAATCTTTGCACTACAACTATCCTCCTTTATTGCATTTCAATGAGGTGATTTGGACTGGTAAACTAACGAGAAAAATGGATTCTAAATGGTATACAATAAACGACAAAGACAAACATACTTGTTGTGTTTTTTTTCTTGAAAAAGATGTTTTCTCAAAAGAACTCGTCTTATGTGTTGTTTCAGATCAGTTTTATAATACCTTTAAGAGAAAACAATGGGTATTAGCCGTGACCATTGGCATAAACGACGAAAGACCGGTGGTAAACGTCCACAACCGCATAAAAAACGAAAATTCGAATTAGGTCGACCGGCAGCTCTTACCAAATTAGGTGCAAAACGTATTCACACTGTTCGAACACGCGGTGGTAATAAGAAATATCGCGCACTTCGTTTGGATATAGGAAACTTCTCATGGGGTTCAGAAGGCATTGCCAAGAAAACTCGTGTCATCGATGTTATGTACCATCCATCGAATAACGTACGTCGCCTTCATTTGGTTCTCGATGAGTCAGCAGATTTTCACTTGTGATCTCCTTTTTCTTTAGGAATTAGTACGTACGAAAACTTTAACAAAATCAACCATCGTACAAATCGATGCTGTGCCATTCCGACAATGGTATGAATCACACTATGGCCTTCCACTCGGTCGTAAGAAAGGTGTGAAATTAACCGAAGCTGAAGAAGCTGTTCTCAATCGTAAACGCTCTGCGAAATCGCAAAAGAAACTCGCTGTTAAACAACGTCGTGCTAAAGTTGAACAAGGACTCGAAGAACAATTTCAAGCCGGACGTGTTCTCGCTTGTGTTGCTTCTCGACCAGGTCAATGTGGTCGATGCGATGGCTATGTTCTCGAAGGCAAAGAACTTGATTTCTACATGAAAAAAATCAAACAAAAGAAATCGAAATAAACAACGCACAAATTCAAAGAAACAACTGTGTCAAACCAAACCAACAATTGTTTCTTTTTTTTTGTATCTTGTATTACCATCATTGTCTTGTTCGAAAAGAGAAAACAAAGAAATACAAATATCTATTTATAAAAGAAGAACGTTTTGAATAAAGATAACAAAACAAAAGCACGAAAACTTTCTGTTTTCTAGATAGATTATAAATCATGGCTGGTTCAGAATCAGTTGAACAAACCAAACAACAAGAAACACCCAAAGAAGATCCAAAAAAACCAATCGAAATTAAAGAAGAAGATTTAGTATGTTCAACTCACTTTCAATTCCTTCATTATTGTTTTCTTCTTTATTCTAGTCGGAAGAAGATAAACAGTTGAAAGAAGAACTTGAATTGTGCGTCGAACGTTTGAAAGAGAATGACAAGAACTTATATCGACCCGCTTTGGAAACGCTCCGACAAAAGATTCGCGAATCAACTAGTTCAATGACCAGTGTACCAAAACCATTGAAGTTCATGAGACCATTCTACAACGATATGATCGCTATTTACGAAAAAATCCAAGATGTTCAAAACAAAGTAGACATTTTCTTTTCCGTTAGGCTCGAAGATATTCATAACGAGAATGCTTTAGACATTATGTGCTGATATTGTTTCAGTTCTTGCCATGACTACAATCGACACAAAGGAAGTTCTGAAATATCGTTTATTAGGTTCAAGTCAAGATATTGGCATGTGGGGTCATGAATATATCAGGTAGGGAAGGATTTTTCGAAGCTTTATGCACGTTAATCACGAATATTTGTAGACATTTATCAGCTGATGTTGCTTCCGGGTGGGAATCGACGGAAAATAATGCTGAACTTCGTCAACGTCTTCTCTCGTTAACTAATGAAATTATTCCATTTCTGATGCGACATAATGCTGAAGCTGATGCTTGTGATTTATTAATGGAAATAGAACAATTAGATCTAATCGAAACATTCGTTGATAAAGATACTTTTCCACGTGTTTGTCTTTATTTAACCAGGTAAATTCATCCTATTCTATCAAAATGAATCTCAATGGTCATATTTAGTTGCGTACCATATGTACCTGAACCAGATGACACAAAATTATTACGTACAGCATGTAAACTTTATCGTCATTATGATCAATATCCATTAGCATTACGTTGTGCAATACAATTGAATGACATGGATCTTATACGTGACTTAGTTAATACATGTCCGACTAGGTAAATTGAACAATGAAATATGAAACTGGATTGTTTATGTGTGTTTTGTCTTGCTTTTAGTTTAATAAAAAAACAATTGGCATTTCTCTTAGGTCGACAGCAAATCATTTGGAATGTTGCTGAAGTTAACGGTGAAGATCCAGATGAACTGACGAACATTATGTCGAATTCACATTTAACAACAAACTTTTTGTCATTAGCCCGTGAATTGGATATTATGGAGGCGAAATTGCCCGAAGATATCTATAAAACATACCTAGATAATACCAATCGTTCGAATTACAATCAACCGGATTCGAGTAAACAAAATTTAGCATCAGCTTTTGTCAATGGGTTCGTCAATGCTGCATTTGGACAAGATAAAATCGTCACGCAGGACACAAAATGGCTGGCCAAATATAAAGACAATGGCCTTTTAAGTGCAACTGCGTCACTTGGTCTCATTGTACTCTGGGATGTCGACGGCGGTCTTAGTTTAATCGATAAATACCTTTATAGTGTGGATGATAACATGAAAGCTGGAGCACTTCTTGCCTGTGGTATTGTCAACTGTGGTGTTCAAAATGATTGTGATCCAGCATTAGCTCTTCTCGGTGATTATGTATCACATAAAGATGCACCATTCCGTGTTGGTTCAATTGTTGGGTATGACTGTTTGATTTCATTGGTAGATCAGCATCGGAGTGGTCTTTTCTTTTAGTCTGGGTCTTGCGTACGCAGGTACAAATCGGGATGATGTCATTGAAATGATTAGCAATGCATTACGTGAAGGCAATCCATCTATGGAAGTAAGATGAAGAAATCATACGTTTCTTTTCTAATCTATTTCGTTTGTAGATTATTTCTCTAGCATGTCTTTCAATTGGTATCATTGCTGTCGGTTCATGTAATGCTGATGTTTCAACGACATTGTTAAGCGTTCTCCTTGAACGAAGTGAAATTGAACTCAAAGAACACTTCGCTAAATTCATCGCTCTCGCTATTGGCCTTCTTTTTCTTAGTATGTTTTGTTCGCTTAGTAGACATGAGCGAGGTTTCGATATATGCACTTTTTAGGCAAAGGCGAAGCAGTTGAACCCATGCTTGAATCTCTGAAAGTAATCAGCGAACCATTACGTTCATTTGCTACTGTACTTGTCGAATGTTGTGCGTACGCTGGTACCGGAAACGTATTGAAAATTCAACATATGTTACATATCTGTAGCGAACATTTCGATAACAAAGATGAGAAGAAAGTAAGTTTCATTCGACGATTGTAGTCATCGAAGGAAAAACTGTTTGATTGTAGGAAGGTGAAAAGGAATCATCGAAAGATAAAGATAAGGATAAAAAGAAAGATGATGAAGCTGCATCTCAAAACGCTGCCCATCAAGGTTTGATTTGCAATACAATTACCGTTACACTAATGAAAAACACTACATTCTTTCAGCTGCCGCCGTACTTGGTATTGCGATGATCGCCATGGGCGAAGAAATTGGTTCTGAAATGGCATTACGTACATTTGGACATTTAGTAAGAATGATCGTTTTCTTTCTTCTGACTTCTTAGAACTTATTACTTTCCATAGTTACGCTACGGTGAGCCTGTTATCAAACGAGCTGTTCCACTTGCTCTTGCTCTCTTGTCTGTATCGAATCCCAAATTGAACATCATTGATACATTGAGTAAATTCTCTCATGATGCCGATCATGAGGTTTCGTACAACTCAATCTTTGCAATGGGTATCGTCGGTGCCGGTATGTCGAAATCACTCAATAGAAGGATTTGTCAAACTTACACTTGATCTTCTGTTCAGGTACGAATAATGCTCGTTTAGCTGCCATGCTTCGACAATTAGCTATCTATCATGGAAAAGACATGAACAATTTGTTCATGGTTCGTCTTGCACAAGGTCTTACACATCTTGGCAAAGGTACCATGACATTGAATCCATATCACAGTGACCGTATGCTTCTCTGTCGTGTGGCACTGGCTGGTTTACTTACTGTCTTAGTTTCCCTTTTCGACGTTAAACAAAGTAAAAACACGACAAGTACTTTTCGATCATCGACATGTCTCTTTTCATTTAGCAATTATCGGTAAATATCACTATTTACTATATTTCCTTGCATTGGCTATTCAACCACGTATGCTTGTAACATTCGATGAATCACTTCGACCATTACCCGTTCCTGTTCGTGTCGGTCAAGTAAGTTCCCCTGAAATACGGTCTTAACAAATGAAACCATTCGAAAATCTTCTTTAGGCAGTAGATGTTGTCGGTCAAGCTGGTAAACCAAAAACCATCACTGGCTTTCAAACACATACAACACCTGTCTTGTTGGCATATGGTGAACGTGCGGAATTAGCAACTGAAGAATACGTTACTTTAACACCAGTCTTAGAAGGCTTTGTTATCTTACAAAAAAATCCTAATTATGTACCATGATTTTCTTCTATTTCTTTTCTCCTCTTTTTCTTTCTTGCAAAAAATGTTCGTCTTACTCTACATAATCGAGAGACCTTTTGTTTATTAAAGCAAGCAAAGCCAAGCAAAACCAGAATCGGGTCTTTCTCCTTGTTGTCGTCTGTTCTCTATTTTACTGTTTTTTTCTTTCTTCTCTCTTTCGGTTTTTTTTATAGTTGAAAATATATGATCAAATCATGCGATCGACAACAGTCCAATTGTAGATGAGTAGTTCCTTTCATGACTCAACAGAAATACGCCTGTAAGTCAGTCTTTACACGTGTGTTGCATTTCTTATCAACTATCTTGATTCGACATGAGTAGAAGTCTTCAAAGAACAAATTAAATGAAGACTGTTGAAGGAGTGTTCACAAGTAAATAATTTTGTTGGAAAATTTTATCATGATTTCAAAAGGACGTGACCATGAACAGTGATTCGTAGAAGTATCTATTTAAGTATTCTACAATCAACTAAATCAGGAAAAAGTCGTCTGTAAATTATAAAAGGAATAGCTATTCTTTTACGAGGTATCTAGTGATTAAATATTATAATAAGCAGCTAAACGTCCTTATTTTACTCTGATTATTTGAGTATCCTGTAATTAATTTTAATGTTCTTGGCAATTAGAACACTTAAGATTGTACATTCATCGAAGTCTGAGAGGAAAATTAATCACAACGTAGCCCACTCATATGCATGAATAATTCAAACATTTTTGGAAGGAGAAAGGCTCTGCAAAAGAGCGATGTGTCAGGCTGGATGAAAATGACGTATTGAAAAATAAGAAAATCAGCACTTCTTGTCCTACAAGAGTTCGAATAAATGAATAATGAGCGTAGCCATTGAAAGGAATGAAACCTTGTCAGCCGCCCTCTCTTGAATAAATATTAGGAAAGTCATGTTCAATGTAAGATCTCATTTTACCAATGTGAAAATTAATCGTTTTTGTCACCTGGCATCTTTCTCTCTGTTTCCTTTCAATCAGCAAATGAATTTTCAAGCAAAATGCTGCTTTCATGTATTCAACTAGGATAGGAATGCGACTTGCGTAAACGCAAATAATGTCTTGCTTCAAAGCTTTCCGTATGTGTTATAATAAATTTGTTATAATCAAAAATATTTCTGTTTTATATCTTTTCAAAGGTATTTACCGGTCGAGATGAGTCTTATTTGCAAACAAAGGCCTGTTTTGTGTACGCCGATTCGAATATTAACAATGATATTTATGTTCAGAAAGGAAGAATAGCAATTTGACGCGCTGCGGGCACAGAGGAGATCTTTTTTCGTTGACATATATAATTATCAGTTTGTTGAGATGACT